AAATCAGCTGTTCGTTTCTAAGCTGGGACGTTGACGTCCCAACAATCACAATAGAGTTCGCAGTTGACGATGAGTAGATTGATGATACATGGGCGAGCGTGGACGAACCTCACATTAATATTCTGCTTTATTCAGGTTCCATTTGTTATTAGAGTTAGGCATATTTACAGTTAGTCCTATTCCCAATATTGCCCAGGTTACACTTGAAAACATGGGAAACAAACGGATCATTTACTGCATTTGTCGTCTCAAATCACTGCACCGGTTGATTTTCAGAGTTTGTTATGATATTACTCGACAGTATACTAATTTTCCAGTAAGAAATGTGACAAATTTTATCTTACACATGTGTGGGATGACCTTGTTTTTGTTTTCTAGCATGCGAAAAACATCAAAATCTACCAGGGTTCAACATTAACTTTATTTCACAGACCATCGGGTAGTAATTCTGATGGAAAACCACAGCACTACTAACTTTCACTAGTCCAGACCAGACCCTTGAAATTATGGAAACTATTTAGTAAGAGTGTGTCCATCGTGATGATTCATAGTATGCTGTTTCCCACTTGGCGCTTTAATATTAGCCAGTGGGACGAGTTCAATGTGCCCAGGCATCTATTTCTACCAAGCTTGACTTTCTACCACGGGCATGCATCGAGCGCCGGTTATCGATCGCTTTACTGCGGCTAGGCCGCAAGCCACATTTATAGTCGTTATTGTTTTTTGCCGAAGTAGCTGGGATCGCTCACGCTCTCTAACTGTACACTCCCGTCGACAACAGTTGCGGACCGGCGAACCAGTCTAGCCAGAGGTGACTTTCAGTGCAATTACTATACTTCATATGACACAGTTCTAACATGGACCAGTCGGGTACATAGCACTTCTTGGTTGTATGCGCGACCGACCAAGCATTTACCCGACTAGTTCTGGTCGGACATGGGTTAGGTTCGAACCCTGACTACACGTTATTACTGATTATATAATAACGTTAGGAAAACGGTAAACAAACCTTGTTTCGAATCTACGCCTTCTAGTTACTTCTAGTAAATTTACGAAATTTACCTGGACTCTCAAAAACTCATTATTTCACTGCTTGAACATCAGAGGTAGTAGAGCATTTGATTTCTTTAGTTCATTAAAGACTGCGGTGTAATATAACTGTCCCTGTTTATTTATAGTGTAGCGTAGTGCCGCATCCATGTGGTCTCCCTATCGTTGCGCAATTACGGGGCGCGGCGCCCGTTGGAAAACTCCCACCCTGTCTCAATCGTTGCGCCCCGATTTTAACATACACTCCCGCCCCGATTAATATTCCCACCACAATAAAAGTTTGACAGCGCGGGCAATCGTACGTCAAGATCCCATTCGACTCAGGGACACATCTCGACTCGGTATTTTACGGCTACACGCATGGCACGAGACCATCATCAAGTCACAACAACAGTCAACCTGTCCGCGACCCACATAACGAACCGACTGGCTATCTTTATATACACAAGAACATCCCAAATACCGTCTATGGTGTGCGGGACGATACCATTAATTTAGTGACGGTAAACAAAATCACGCCCACCGACCCCCCCTAGTTCCCTCCCTTCACCCCCCCACCTTCGCTCCCTGTTTCATTTGCATCTGCTGCGGAGAACCTGCTCATCTGTGGAAATCTAGAGTAACAAAAACCAATAATCTCACCACGAGCTGACTTCGGATCCGCGGGGATGCGTTTGATTGCTTTCTCACGCAGCTGTTCCTCATGGAATTGCGTGCGGGGGGAATCGTGTTAAAGAGGGGCCAAAAACGAGCGAAACTGCGCAAAAGTTAGTAAGCTGACTTAATATTTAATTGGTTTCCGCTACGTCTCTCCCTCTCCCACAACCGGCCTTGCCGTCTTCCTCACTCTCTCAGCTCTGCAATCTTAGTTTCAGAGCGCCAAGGACATAAAGGGCGACATTTTTTTTCGTTGTTCTTCGCTACTCAGATATACTTACATAAAGGGGTCGTTCGAAAAACAGGCGGGGTATGACAGGGTTAGATACTAACTCATTTTAGTTTCATTAGTCGCTACGGACATTGTAAAAGAAAAAATTACAGTCCCTGTCCACAGATTCTACTACTACTAGTACTTGCCAAAGGAGTCTTAATAGGCACAAACTGACGAGCATTGTGATTTGCCGGGGGGTAGGAGGGTGGAGCCCCTTCTGCTAGGGGGTACAGGGGTCTTCCCCAGGGTACAAGGGTAAGGGTCTCCCCAGAAAGGATTTGTAAAAGACATTCAATTGTATAAAATATACTAACTTTGATATGGATCATAAGAAAACAAATGTTGTTCCCGCGCCTTGTAAGCTATCGCTGTAATGAACTCTGGCAGCGTTGTCCAGTGAGGTAGTGCTGCCGACATCTAACCCCTTGGTCTTGTCAAGCTGGCACAGCTTGACGTAATCGGCTGTAAGGGCCTGCTTTTTTTCAATAGCGCTTACGATGTGCATTTCTGAATTAGGATATCCCCGAGTTTTGCTATTATGGCTTTGTTCCTTTGTTAAAAGTTATTGTTTTTGCCCCCACTGTTGTCATGAACAGCATGGTTCCTTGCATTTCTTTTTGCTTTAGATCTTATATCTGTGCCCGTCGGGAAGCATCATGCGCTTTAACAGTTTCCAACGAAGTTTGTAGTCCGGTGAAAAAACTACCAGAATACAGCCTGCACCACAGGTCATACCTTTGGCCGGGTCAAACTCTAGCACGGTTATGACGATTCCTCGCTGTGACAGTCTGCAGCCGGCATATCCGCGCGAATGCGCGCCAACGCCGCCTGGCTGGCAAGCTTTCACACATCGCTGCACCTCTGAATTTACTTCAACCGCGGTTCCTGGTTATACGCCAAGCCGTATTATCATTGAGTTCAGGAGTTCTGGCGATTGACGACGGATGTTCACAAATACCCAGTGTAGTCTTGAGACTTGCTTTGAGAATTGCTCGTAATAACTGTTTTGGCGACTCGGCGCGCTTGGGTTTGGCTGTTAAAAACCGACCTTTGACTTTTTTGTTCACATTTGTAACAATACTATAGCGCTCACATCCTTTGTGTTTTGAAAAAGGCAGTGCGACCGTGAAAAATCACACCACCTTGGCTTCCGAGTGTGTGTGATTTGTATTCAGATGTGCCGCGCATATTTGAAATCTAGACTTCATGAAATGCCAATTCCGCATTTTGGATAAAATTAGCTCCGCATTGATACTCTTAATTTGGAATTTTTATGTAATTTTTTTTTCATCTCACATAATATTACGAGTTCTTGAACATAGTGATGGATAACTTGAATCACACATTTAGCATTGGTTTAGTAAAAAGGAACAACACTCAATTTTCAAAGCAGACTATTAAAACTTTAATAGTAATTTTGCAACATCATAATCATTTCAGTTCACTTGTTTGTCATTTTTGTCAAATTTGAGGTATTCTTCAGTTTCATTTCAAAAAAACATACATGTTTGCAATAAAACTTCTACTAAAACCTTTAAAAGTGGTCTACGTCACGTCAAATTTCCTGAAATAATTTATAGTTGCAAACCTTATTTTATGTAATTAGTTTTTACATTCAAAAGTTAGTACTATAGTTATCTAAATATATCCTAAAGCTCCTCACCTGATATAAATGTTTTTACGTTGGTTAAAATTTTGCAAAAATTTGACGATTTGTAATTTAGTTTACCTTAACACTATGTTACATAATACTGGCGTCACTCCGTTGCTTGCACTGCGTTTGTGTGTGTGATGTAATTCGTGATTTGTGTATGGTGCCCACAAAGTGGGCCCAACAGTTTCTGTTTTGATTGTGTTGGCTCACTCATAGAGATTACCAATATAGGAAAAATAAATAATTAATATTGTTCATGTGTATATGTTGTAAAAATTATTATTTAAAATACGCGACAATGTTTATTTGTGTTTTTTTATTTTCTTGCCACAAAAAATGTTTGTGACATCCCCTTCACGATCGCATCAGAAGCTAGATAAACTAAACGATATAAACAATGTGTTGGGCAGACCATTGCATCGGAAAGAAAACGAAAGAGAAAAAAGCAGAAAGCAAGATTATATGATGAAACTCCCGCTTAAGTTTACAAGGAAATTTTCATGGCTGGCCACAATTATTTTTGCAATCTTCGTTTACCGCAAATGTTGCTATATCGGCTAGCTCGTCTGGGCCGCTACACATAATTTCGAATTCTGGCGTTTGTTGTTTAAGTCGAACTGTTTGTTACATCGAATGCCCTGCAAATGGGAGTATCAAGAAGTATACAAGCATGAAAAAGTAAATAGAAACGCTAATTGTATTTTCATACATTTTATTTTGTACACATATACACACAAATATACTACTTGCCGGTGCTCGAAAAAAATTCGTGACGTAGACAGTTAATCCAGGCTTTTTACATTTTCATTGTTCAGCTGCATCTTTCATGCATCAGTCTCGATCTGCTGCTAGCATGGAATACAAGTAGCAGTCATATTATCATGTACTGGCTCGCATATGAGTAGAGCCCGACGCGTTTTGGTTTTGGTTTTAGGTTTTGGTTTGGGTGGGTTCATGGTGCGCAAAGCTGTGCCAATGCAGACCAGTAGGCTTTTGTGAGTTACGTTGACGTCGTGTGGCTGTGAATACGGTTTCAGTGTGTAACGAAGAATACCAGAGTCAACGATACGTCAAGCTTTCGCCGGTGATAAATAAATGATGAGCGCATGAATGATTGTTTTAAAACTGCCGTTGTATAAGCGCTTATCAACTGTCGTTATAAACATCTGTGAACGACTTCCGGCAATGTCCGCCCGTGATGTTTACAACCCGTTGCGTTTATGTCTTCGAGTTTGCAAGTTGAATTAATGAAAAAACAAACACGAAGAGAGGT